ATAAACGCATCAGAGCGTATTTATTATCGTTACTAAGCCAAAAAAATTGTAATAGCAACCCTGAAACCTGATTATGGAGCGAAATTGCAACTGTTTTTGGATTCACTTTTTTAAAACGCGTTCTGGCCGCTTTTTGCTATTTTCTGGGGCTTTTTCGCGAGTATGATTTAATTTTGTGCTACGGTAGACGAACGGTGATACATTGGAGCAAAAAGCAAAACAAAGATCGCCAAAATGGGGGAGTTCGCGCCGCAGAGGAACCGAACCCGGGGGGTGTGGGGGGCTCGCCTGGGAGGTTAACTCACTATCCGCGGGGAGAGGGCCCGCGCCCCCCAGAAGTGCGTTTTTGGTAAGGCCTGACGAGCCGTGTCGAAACAAGAAATAATCAATAAAAATGATTAACCTTTTAGCCCTTTTTGCGGGCTATTTTGAACGCCTTGCGCCCAAAATCATGGCTCCAAAGCTGTATCTCGGCCAGGTCGTCATCGAGCTTTATTTAACCTACCATTTTACACATTAAAAAATTCAAAAACTACATGAATTTTACTGTAATAAAACAACCTTTTCGCGTTAGCCGATGAAAAAAGTCGGCCCTGTCGATGTGCGCATTCTATCGGAGTGTCGATAGGTTTGCGTCGTACTTCAGTTCGAATCTCAAAAAATCTTCAGCTTCAAAGCTTTTATTTTGTTTTGTAAATGTTTTTTTACAAATTTTGAGCGTAATCTGGAAAATATCGATGTTTTAGGCTAGCCCCGTGCGTTGCGACGCTCCACACGGATGGCGACCCACAAAGAATGGGAGGTGAGGGCTTTGAAAAATTCGAGCATAAAGTTTGCTCTACATTTAGTTATTAAAACTTTGTTTAGAAACACACCGCCGTTTTCACGGCCGTGCGCCGAGGATCGTTGATGCAGGAGCTCGACAAATTCAGCGACGACCAGCTGCAACCCTTCCTGCCCCTGTTGGTGTCGTCAAAATTCGGGACAAATTCGAGCAGCGTTGCGGTGAGGGTTTTTTTGATGATGTAGACGAGAAAAAGTATGAAACGAAGATGTTATGAAGCTTCATCTGCTCCTGAGGTTTAAATGAAGGTTTTGAAAGGAAATTGGATCTTTTCAGGTTTTAGAAAACAAAATTTGTACTTGGAAGCTTTTACTTTCCAACTAGAACTTTAAACTTTTAACCAACTGCAACTTAACGACAAAACAGAGAAGATGTGAAAATTCAGCTTCTCCGAAGCTTTGAGCTTTTAAAACAATTTATTTCGAAGTTTTAGGGAACAGGATTTTGACTTAGAAAATACTTTTAAACTGAAACTTTTAACTTTTAAAGACTTTAAACTTACTTTAAACTTTTATTAAGCTACTTTTACTAAAAAATACGAGTTTTTTAATGAATTTTCATATTTCAGCCCGAGCTCTTCGCGCGCTTGACGACCTTCTCGCGCGAGTCGTTCATCCTCGACTTTTTGAAGGTCGACTACACCGAGGTGGCGAAACGGATCAATGGTAGGCATCGAATTTCCTTTCGGGATTTTGTTGGCTTTGAAGCTTATTTTCACAAATTTCATCATTTTTAGACTTCTCCAACTACAACACCACCTCGAAGAGCCCGGCCGACAAGTACGTCTACTACGTGTCGAAGCTGCTGCGCACGGGGCTTGTTGCCGGTGAAGAAAAAGGTTGGAAGTTTTTAGAAATCGTCGATTCCACCTGTATCAAGGTCGGCGATAGCGAGCTGCCGATGGCGACCTTGTTGCTGTCGTTGGCGATTTTGCACATGCCATGTAGGTTTTGAGGTTTATTTTCTACGTTTGTATGTGTTTTTTTTTGAAAAGCGTCGATTTTCAGCTGTCGTGAAGACGTCGTTGGTCGTCAACCGGTTGCTGTCGATCCAAAACGGCCCGCAGATTTTGGCGGAGGTAGGCAAATTCTTTTATGTATTCCCGGTAGTTTCACGAGGTTTTTAATATTGGAAATTTTGTTAATGATGTCGTATGGTAATTTTTACTTAAATTGATTTAATGAAAATTAACTTTTTATCGTTTAAAAAATAGAAATTATTCGATTTTAGATAGCTTGTAACGTCCCTTCCGAGATCGACCTCATCATCCAGGCGCTTTTGACGGTATTTAAAACTGTATTTTTAAGCAATTTTTTATGTTTTAGAAAGTGTCGCCCGAGGATACGCCAAAAGGCAAGAATCGCGAGCAAATGTTGATGAATGTGGGTTTTAATCATTATTATTAGATTATATTTTACAAAGTTTTATGAGAATATCTCAAATAATAGTTTATTTTTCTAGTTACTCTCCCTATGCCCGGTGCTGATCACCGATCGCGTCTTGGCCAAGTTGACGGAGCACAAGCGCGATGCCGCCCTAGCTGCCCGGCTTTGCGCACTAATAGTATGTTCTAGAAAATTTAATTTTATTAGAATTAATTTAGGGCTCCGACACACAATTCGTGCGATTTATGTCGTCTCATCTGACCGACAACACCTCGCCGGTCCACATCGTCATCAGAAGGTCAAAAATACTCGATTTTCGAGCAAATCAGTGTTTTCAGAAGCGCCCAAAAACCGCACGTTGTCGCCCCGATCCTACAGCGAACTTTTGCAATCCTGAGGAAGCTGGTGGAAACGTGGGACTTTTTACACTTGAAAATACAGCATACCATTTCAGGTTCTTGCGCATTATCGGGGGGTGGTAGAACTTTAAAATTTGATTAAAACTAGGAAAATCCACGATTTTTTGACCAAAGTTTCTAGTGTTTTTGTAGTTCAATATAGTTTGTTTGTTTACTAAAAAAACTACTAACAAACCGGCATTTGCTACTAGAAATTTCTAAATTTGTACAGAAAAGCCCGCCCCCCCGGATAATGCGAAAGTACCCATTTTCATAGTGTTTGTTTTTTAAAAAAACATCTTAAATATCGTTTTATTCAGCAAAAACCATGAGCCGAACCCGGAATTTATCATGGCGCTTGCCCAGCTGAAGATCCTTTGCCAAGGAAAGCCGAGTCGCGAGGATCTCGAGCTGCTGCAGCAGTACTTGACGTTTAAAGTGAGTTTAAGTTTGTTAGATGGAAGATGATTTTTTACAGATTCCAGTCCACGCGCATACGCACGCCGCGCTCTGCGCTCTGCTGTCGATCACCTCGCTGACGAGGTGTGGTTTTCAAAAATTTCGAAATGCTTAAAAATTAACGTAGAAAAATGGATTTTTTTTTTCGGGATTTTGTTATTTTCGATAAGATAAACCTGGGTAAAAGAAAAACGTGAAAATTATAGCATTTTGAAAAATGTGTTTTTTGTGTCTTCAATATTTTATTGCAAACCAGCGCCCAAAACCCGCTTCGCGGGCCTTGGGCGCTGGAATGCGGCCCTTGCATGAGAAATTTGACTTTCCAATAGCTTGGGTCCTTGAGACCCCCTTCATCCGACCACACCCGCGCGTGCAACTTGCAAGAATCAGGAAATTTGTATTTTTGAATTATGCAAAGTAGCGTCTCCCTGGCGCCGGACACACACACACACACACACACACACACACACAAAGATACGCGACCAAATTATATAAGGTAGGATTTTGAAGCTTAAAAGGCCGTTTGCGGGTGGGCCGAAATAGCTTGGCAATAGTTTTTTCGACTCAGCTTTTGACGGCATCGGAAGATATAGTCGATATAGGGCCGCATAGTTTTGAAAGTTTAAAGTTATTTTTAGTGTTTAAATGGGCTCAGCAAGCCGACCCCGAAAAACTATCTCGAAAGCTGACTGCACCGAATTTGCCGAAACCCAGTACAATACCTAATTTTGGATGGGGATCATTTCTCAGTCATCGCAAAGCGCGAGAATGACGGAACATGGTTAAATCGCATAGTACAAACAAAGTTTTAAGACTTTCGAATTTTTAGTATCTCCGAGCGCAACTTGAAGCCAGCATAGAAAAAAGCGAGATTTTTCTGATCGATTGGTGTATCATTTGGCTTGCGCGAGGAATACTAACTTTGAGAAAATCGCGATTTGTAGACGAAAAACGCGGAAAAAATGTCCCAAAAAAATACAAAGTTGTTAATTTTGTTGATCTGAGGTATCAAAACGCATCTAGAAGCCGAGCTGAAACGATTGCAAAAAAGAGCAAAACGAAATTCGGCTTCTGAGAGGGCGCTGGGATTGAACTTGCGGCGGCTCTGGATTGGCACGCCGACGCTCTACTCATTGAGCCACAGGGCTCCCAGGCGGAGGGTCCGGGTTCGATTCCGCGACATCGAAAGAAAGGGAATTTCGTTTTGCTCTTTTTTGCAATCGCTTCAGCTCGGCTTCTAGATGCGTTTTGATACCTCAGATTAACAAAATTAACAACTTTGTATGTTTTTGGGACATTTTTTCCGCGTTTTTCGCCTACAAATCGCGATTTTTCTCAATGTTAGTATTCCTCGCGCAAGCTAAATGATACACCAATCGATGCAGAAAAGTCTCGCGCTTCTTTCTATGCTAGTTTCAAGTTGCGCTCGGAATACTAAAAATTCGAAAGTCTTAAAAAACTGTTTGTACTATGCGATTTAACCATGTTCCCGTCATTTTCGCGCTTTGCGATGTATTAGAGAAATGATCCCCATCCAAAATTAGGTATTGTCACAAGGTTTCAGCAAATTCGGTGCAGTAGCTTTCGAGATAGTTTTTCGGGGTCGGCGGCTTTGAAGCCCATTTAAACACTAAAAATTAACTTTTTAAACTTTCAAAACTATGCAGCCCTACTAATTCGACTATCCTCTTTCCGATGCCGTCAAAAAAACAGGGTCGAAAAAAACTGTGCCAAGCCATATTGGGGGCTGTTCGAGTGACTGGCGGACGGCCTTTTAAAGGCTCATAACTGTTGGGATTTCTTGATGAATTATAAAACGTTTTTTTTTAATATTGTTGGCTTAATTTTTTTGTGCTTTTTAGCGCCCAACAATCGACGCCAAACGCGCCGACGCCGCACAACGAGCAGCGCTGGATGGTCGACTACCTGCAGTGGCTGAAGGCCGAGGCCCACGCCAGCCACAAGCGTCAAGGTAATTTTAACATAGAGAAATTTGGTGACTTTCCGTTAAATTAAAATTTGTATCTAGTTTGTAAAAAATTTGGAAATTTGTAGTGAAAAACGTATGATTTTAGGTTTTAAATTTGATTTACAGACTCCACCTTCCACTCGATCCTGATCGCCGCGCTGTGCGTGTGGACGGGCCGTGTCGACGAGATCAACCGATTTTTGGGCTCTTCGCTGTCGTGCAAGGTGAGGGACGACTTTTTTGGATTTAAATCTGTTCCTTTTTCAGGTCGCCATCACCTCACGACACTTCCAAGCAATTCGCGCCCTTCTCCTGTCCGTGCTGCCGGAGAAGGAGCTCGTGCTCCTCTGCGTCGACCTACCGGTTACGATAGGTAATTCAAATAGCACGGGGTGATTGGAAGCTCGTTTTTTCCAGATCTCCACGACTCGCACGAGTCCTCGGAGCCGCTTCCGATTCTGTGGATCTCGGACCTGCTGTCGCAGAAGGTGTTCCAGAAGTACAACGTCGACGTTGGGGTCCGTTTCGTTTTTTTTTTTGTGGTTTGTAGCTGGATTCAAAATTGGCCATTTTTGGCCGAAAAATCGATTTTTGGTTTTTTTTAGGCAATTTTGTAAAGGTTTCACATGTAGGAATTCCCAAAAACGGTTTAGAGAAAATTTCACAATTTACTTTTAGTTTTTCTCTTGGTTTTCGTAGTTTGTACTTTGTATTTTCAGAGCTGGATCGGACGTCAAATCTCGGCAGCCGCACTTCCAACTAGCGCCGTGCTCATCGAGGTCATCGAGAGGTGAGGAACGGGGTTTTTTTAATGTAGATTCGGAAATCAGAAAAAAAACCGTAAATGCAAAAAATACAAGTAGAACCCTTTATTCACGCCAAGTCTATGTAAAAAAGCACGCATTAATCGGAGGGGCACGCGATCGGTTATTGCCGAACAGTCGCCGACTTCCACCACGGGAACAGGTCGGCGCACGGGGGCTCGTCGTCGGACTGGAAGATGTTGCCGTATCTCTGGAAATACGTCTTTTCAGAAATGGAAAAAGCAAAAAGCAAAAAAGGTGGACGCGGCCGGGACTCGAACCTGGGTCTTTAAATTAGAGAAAAAACCAGGGTAAACCAGGACAAAACGAAAAAATTTTTTCTTATGAACCGATCTTGTAAAAATAGAGTCCTCCTTTAATTTCTAAGCTATATTTTTTGATCTTGAAAAATTTATGTCGAAAACTGAAAAAAGCAGAAAGTAAAAAAAAATGACGCGGCCCGGATTCGATCCCGGCCCTAAACTTGAGCGGCGAGCTCTCTAGCCACTAGACCAAATCCGAAATTCCGATTCACAACTAATTGCGCACCTGGTGGTACTGGACGAGGGCGTCGAGGTTGCGGAAAAACTTGGGCTTCGGGTCGCCGCACTCGACGAAGAAGAACGGCTCCGTGTAGCTGCGCGTCGAGTGGATACGGTAGTGGCTAAAACGGTAGTGGGGGTACGGTGGATACAGTAGGTCCGAACCGACCGATAACTGCCCTTGGACGAGCGGTAGCAGACGTACATCTTAAGGCTGGCCGACAGCTTGCTCAGGTTGACAATGTCCGGGATCAGGGGGTACTGTAGCGGCAAATTTTTGTTTTTGTACATTAGATTTGAATATAAAAAGGAGCTTATTCATTGTCGGGGGGGTGCTATTTATTTAGGCAAGTTTAGAGACACCTAGTGACGTAATCGTAAAAATTAGTGAAGTTTGACGATATTTCAATGGAAAACTAGCTAAAAAGTAATAATTTTCAAGAAATTCGAAATCTACTTTTATTGGATTTTGATTGAAAAGTCGATCTTTTCTGTAGTTAAAAAATTGTAGTTTTTTGCGTTTCGGAATAGTAAAAAAGCCGTTTAGAAACACTTCGGCCATTTAGCTTGAAAAAATTCGATATAATCCTTCAATAATTAAAAAAATTCAAATTTTGGTCGAAAAAATCTTTTTTTTTGTTGTTGTTGATAATTGTAGTTTGAAGTTTTCGAATATAAAAAACTACTTAATGGATACTCAGGAAACGCCTCCCCCGATAACGCACAAGCACCCATTTTTTGCCCAAACTCGCCCTGTGGTACAGGATGAAGTCGCCCATCTTCATGACGAGCTTTTCGGCCTGTTCCCACGTCTGCACGCCGCGATAGGCCTTGTGCGCCGGCCCGTTCGCCTCCTCGTAGACGGGCGAGTACTGTAGATGGGAGGGGTGTATTTTGTAGTTTTTCCACATTACCATCGAGTCGACCGTCTGGTACGAGTAGTTCGAGGCACCGCTGCTGACGCTGCTCGCCGGCTTGTGCTGCTGCTGCTGCTCGGGGACGCCGGCTGGAAAACCGTTTTTAAAGGGGCCGGCCGGCAAGGTATGGTCGTAGATTTTCGGCGCCCGCAAAGCAATCGCGACGCGGCGCTCCAAATGGCGAAAACCAACCATCGGCCAGCCCCTCGATCAGCTCGTACTGCTCGTTCTGCTTGGTGGAGCGGGCTTCTGAACGTGGGCGTTGGTTCTTTTGCATTATCGGGGGCAAGACCAAAGTCCAAAGCCACCCATGCTTTGCCGGTCCCTTTAAAATCCACCCACTCATATCTCCGGAGCGGGGCGGGTCGGGCGGCGGGCGGACGGAGGGCGCCTGGTTCAGCCGCTTTTTCTTCTCCACCTGCAAATTTTCGGTTTTCAGGGGACCGACAGGCATACTACAATTTCTTGGTCCCTTTAAACCCCAAAAACCGGATTTTTCGGGTTTAAAGGGATTCGGAAGCCAAGAAAATCCACTTACCGCACACTGCCCCGTGCCGTGCACGCAGCAGTGGTTGGGGCGGTTGGGCGTCACCGCCGAACGTGTCGAGCTCGTCCTCAGGTCTTTCTGAAGAGCGGTTGAAAAGTGTCACTGTCCCTTTAAAAAGTAAAAAGTCACTGTCCCTTTAAAAAGTAAAAAGTTCCTAAACTTGTTTCAAATTTTTATTCAAAACTATCAAAAAGATGGATTTTTCTTTTTGGCCAAAATGGACGGTTTTGTCATCAAAATTTCGACTTTTTAAAACATTTAGCAGTCTAATGAAACATTACTCGCAAAATTAAACGCAAAAAATGGATCCATAGCCATGTCAATCCCTTTAAAAGCCCCCACCGAAGTGGCGCCGACGGCGGCCACCGAGTTGTAGGGCGTCACTTGGTTGAGCCGCTGCAGGGACGTGTAGCCGATCTTCAGTGAACTGTACGGCGTTTTCTGTTCCATCCTCTGAAAAAACACAGATTTCAATAAATTTGCATAAGCTCCGCCCACTTGGTCTTCTCCCTGTAAGGTGAAGAGAAGAAGAATTAACCGGCGCGTTGAGACTAGAAAATGAAAATGGTTTTCTGGGCCGTTTGGAGGCTAAATATACAAAAACTCGCATGTAAATTCGGGGTTTCTGGATTTTAATTTTTATGAAAATTTTCTAATTTAAATTTAGGTTGGCCGAACACGCGTCGCATGTCACCAGCGTCGTCGGGCTGTCCAGGGAATTTTGTGAGGTCATTATAGTCTTTTTTTGGGGGAGGCAGGCTAGCAGAGATTGTTGAGGAAGAGGAGAGGGCAGGCTAGCAGAAATTGTTGAGGAAGAGGAGAGGGCAGGCTAGCAGAGATTGTTGAGGAAGAGGAGAGGGCATGCTAGCAGAGATTGTTGAGGAAGAGGAGAGGGCAGGCTGGCAGATATCATTTATTTCCAGGAAGTCCTCTCCGGGCAGCTGGTCGACAAGGAAAAGACGGTCCCCCGGATCCTGGTGCTCCAATACCTGCTCGCCTACCATCGGGGCTACGCGCTGAGCGGGAGAAAGGGCAGCAATATTTACGGTAGTTTTCCACAATTTAATTTTTAGGCTTTGTCGATATTTTTTTCAAGGAAGCTATTTTCAAAAAGGTTTATGGAAATCCTAAATCCGGTGTTTCGAGAATCGCTCTACAAGAAGATCCCGATCCGATACCTGCTGAGCTTGGTGATGGCCCAGGAGGAGTACGCGGCGATGCGCGGCTCATTGGTAACGGTTTTGTCGTTCGTAAAGTGCATTTTTGTTCGTTTAGTTACGGTGTGCGACGGCACTGTTCCCCTACATGTGGCCGACGCGGGAAAGCATCGAGCTGGTCAGGATCGACGCAGCCAGGGCGGGCCGGCCGGTGCCGCCGGATGCTGAGGTGGGCTTTTTATCAAGCCTTCTATCGCTTTTCCTTTAAAGAAGCTATACATATACGACCTACCTACTCGTGACGACCGAAACAATTTTTGAGAAATATTTGATTTTTGTGTTCAGATCGAATCCACGCTTTCTGGAGAACAACACGCGGCGGCTCGGAAGATGTGCAGGGACTTGGAGCAGGCTTCCGCGGCCGAATTGGTAATTTTCGATTCTTAGGTTTTTAGGTGCTGAGAGCTGACCGCAATGCAGATGCGACGCGCCCGAATTTTACCGCTAATTATTTTTCAGGCTCGTCTTCTCCCCATCATCGTCCGCGCCAGCAAGAAATGCCTGCCGAAGGTCGTGCCGGCTGCCGATTTTTCGGAGAGCGGAAGCTTGGAAAGTGGGTTTTACTTTGAATTTTGTGGCGTTATAGCAGAGTTCTCGAGGGGGGGGGCGGGCGGGCGGTTATTTGGGAAAAGCCATTAGGCAAGCCAGCACAAAAGGGAAACACATTTTTTTGCAGCATCCCTCATAGCCGAGCCAATCTGCCGACTCTGGGCCCGAATCGAAGCAATTGTGCCGAGGGAATTGATGGAGGTCAGCCGGGGGTTTTTCGATTACGCAATTAATTGTTGGCTCTAGTAATCGGTTACGGTGTGTAATTAGGTTTGCGCGAAAAAGCGGAGAACACGAATAAATCGGAAAATTCTGGTTATTGCCAGATTTTGAAATGAAGCATGCTTTTTGGCTGCCGCATCTGTTGAACTCCCCTCACAGAGGGGAGTTCAATAGATGCCGTCCTCATCCCTTTAAATTAACTTTTAAAATATTAAATGATTTACGATATTGTTTTCAGCAGACCCTCGCCTCGTGGCAATTGACGCCATTTTCGGTGGCGCAAGCCTACGTGCAGCCATGCCTTGTGTTTAATGTCGACAAAAGGTATTTGCTTTTGGCCGTATTTAACAAAACTTTTTAACTTTCTAAGTTTTTTAGTTTATTACATTTTTATTTATGATTTAATTTATTTAGAGTTTTCGCTTCACCACCGCACTTCCAAATCCTGCTGAAGCTGCTGTCCTTCTTCTTGGAGGCCGCCCGCGCCGAGGAGGAGCGCATCGTGCTCCGAGCCAACATGAAGACGAACAATATGTATGATGATCAGAAGCGGTGGTTCTTTTATGCATATTTAAAGTGTCGATTCCGCGTGGTAATACTCGAAATCCGATGAACCGAAAATTCTACTAAAAAACACAAATTTTCGAAAATTCTCCCGGTGGCCGAGTGGTGATGTTTTTTGTTGTTGTCAGGCCGGAGACCCGGGTTCGATCCCGGCCGGGGTAAAATTTTTTGCATTTGTCGGGAAACTGGGAATCGTATTTTTCTGCCGTTTGTCTAGTTTTATAGCTGTAAAAAGCGTGTTTGAAAGTTGTATTCAATCCGGTAAAGCTTAAAACAACATTTTTCAGGCCACTTACATTCGAGGATCGGCAGAGGTCGGGTTAAATTATTAGCCACCCTTCGCAATTTCGGTTCTGGTTCGTTAGCGGGGGGGCAATCTCCCAATAATCCCCCTCCTCCGCTAATGAACCAGAACCGAATTCCCCCAAAA